TCCAAGGGGCTGAAGGAGCACTGGTGGGACTGTGGGACACTTGTTTGTCACCCACGGGCAGTGCAGCAGGGAGAGTTGTAGCAATGCCCATCTCAGAGCTGACAGCAGCCACTGTCTCGGTGGTGGCAGAGGAAGCAGAGCCTGCAGAGCTTTCTCCTTCAGGAGCAAACTCCGTGCTGTTTCTTACCTCAGGAGCCATTGTTTGAGTGAGAGGGTCCACAATCTCACCTGTAACACAGTAAACACATGCTGAAATGGGGTCTCAAACTGGATGAGGAGGCACCAGGGTCTGACCTGAACATGGGACTGAGAACACCCAACCAGAGGTAGTGCCATTAGAGAAACAGGTCTTGGATATTTCATCAACACATTGTAGCATTTTTATGGGGTTCAATCTGGTTTGTGCCTAGTCTTAGATTTGATTCCTGGGTCTCCTTTTCTGGTTGGCAGGTCATGGATCATTCCAGTGGGAGGAAATTAGCCACAGACATATCAAAAGAGGGAAAAGTACAGCCCATGTTGCTCAGCAGTCTGTTATCTGGTTTAGGAAGATTGCAGAGAGATTTCATCTGAAGATATATATATATAAGGTTCAGAGAGAAATCAAATATTCTCCTTCAGACAGAGACTGCATAGGTGCAACGATGTACACATCATATGCTATATAAACAGCTGGAATAAAAGCAGGGGCTAAACCCTACAATTTATTCCAATGTTTTTTGGCAAAGGAAAACTACATGAGAGTCTTGCTCACCCTCACAATTTCTTCCAGGTAGGGATGGATTGGTACCCATGGTTGTCTTGCATCTGCACATGTAGAAGTCCATCAGATTGATACACTCTGCAAACACAGAGTCTGTGAGACCAAAACAAGAACACGAGTCCAAAAGTTTCCTTTCTGGATGCATGAAGCTAGAGATAACCATTAAGTAGCCCTTTCTTCAGGTTTTGAATTTATTAATATGATCTTTCCACATGATTTACCAGCCAAGCTCTGAGTGATACAGAATACTATCTGTGTTATTATTCTCTCACATAAAAATGTTTTGTTCTTGTACTCTGAAAAATATTTTCTCTGGGTAAAGACTTGGTTAATAATTATTTTTAGAAGTAAACACATACTTCAAGTGAAAAAAATACTGTAGGTTTGTACTATAGCTGTAGCAAAAGCATACACTATACCAAGTTCTGCATACAGCACCTCCAGATACATCAGGTAATAATAGATCTGTTACCCCTAGATACCAGTGGATAGAACATTAGAGACTTAATCCAAATAATCTTCTGCTTCAAATAAAAGTAAATGCAAGTAACTCCCATGGGAATTGCTCTTCCGTTCTTAACAGAGGAAGTGCTAAGGGCAAAATCTCTTCCTGTGAAAGATCACAAAGGTAATACTGTAAAGCTGTGATCCTATTTCTGGTAGCCTCAGCAAAGAGATCCTGGTTCCTCAATGCATGAACGTGCTCTGAGGGTGTTCCTTATGTCTGATTTCTGCTGCCCTGAATCAGTTAGAGATGCTTCTGTCAGGCAGTTAGAGACCTATTTTGTTGCTGAATCTCCTCACTCTTCAGGGATTTCTTATCTGCAGTCTTGTATAGCCACTTGCAGCCTGTTCCAGCAAACATGCAAAGGCTGAGTTAGTGCTTTGGGCATGAATAAAGTCTGTGAGTCCCATGTGTGCACTCCCCCTGCACACACCTTCACTGCCTCAGGGCCCTGAGAGAGGCAGAGCAACAAACTAGACTGAAAACTGTGTCTTGGGACAAATAATTCTGATCAGAGGCTAGAAGACAGTTTTGAACAACACATTAGCATAAATGCTTGTTCTGCAAACATGCAGAGATTAATGGCTGTGATTATTTCTCCAAAACAAAGGAATTCCCCATTCCTTGTGCATGCACATACATGCATTAATCTTTCTGCTTGCAGACAGCCTTCCCCTCTTCCTTCCTGCCAGCTAATATTTCAGTTCTTTTTCCTTTCTTTGTCATTAGGTAATTATTGCATCCATGATAGTCTCCATCAGACAATTTCATGTGCCTATGGACAGCATCTGCCTATTACATTACAGCCTAAGCCACTCAGAGGGAATACAGAAGTGTGCAGAATTGACTAAACACCATGCTGAAAGTGCTTTCATTAGTTCCTTACTGTGCTATGAAGTAATTGTGACTCCTGATGGCTTTAAACACCTGAGATGGCTTCAAGCATCTAAGAGATGCTCCTGTGCTAATTGCCAAATAACTTACATTCACTGCCTGCATTGTCTCCTGAGGGTTTCCTTTCTCCTCACTTAGCACGGCTTTTTAAGCAAATTCCCTCACCTCCGGTGGCCACATTCAATCATGCATCAGGCAAAACCACTTATGTTCTTGTCTCAGTGCTCACTGGCACTGACTGGTACATCACTCATGCATGTACATACACACATGCTGCACTTTTTCCCCCTGTAACCATTACATCTCAGCTGAGATGTGCTCTGTGCTCTTTCTGCACTCTTGGTATCTCTCTGGCCTTTCACATTTAGCAAGTGCCTTTCCCACCCCCCCCACACACCTCAATAGTCCTACTCCAAAAATTACTAAATCTCCACCTTTGTGTTTACTCTGATTATCCATTGGGGTCCATGCAATGGGTAAAAATCTGTGAAATTCCTTTCCTAATGATGTTGCAGATGCTAAAGTTTTGCATGATTTCATGGGAAACACATGGAGGAAAAGCCCAAATAAATCACTTTGGATTCAAGGAGTCCTGGAGGTGAAAACAGTTGGTGGCTCAGAAAGAATTAGTGAGAGGCATCACCTAGACTTGCACTTCTTACACTTCTTCAGGAACTTGCTCCTGGCTGCTAACTGAGTACATGATAATGTGCCAGATGGATCTTGGGCCTGGCTCAGCACACATCCCTTTCTCTTTTCTTGCCATGCCTCACACAACAGACTGATTTTATTGTCTCTATTCATCATGGCAATAAACTTAATAATTTATGAATCTTCAACGCGAGATGCAATTGCTCCACTCCCTTCAGCTGTGCTGTGCCTTCTGACTTCTCATCCCTGCTTTTCACAGTTGAATTCACTGTCACTAATCTAAGCACACAGCCTTGTGGTGGTCAGGCTGCACAGAGGATCCAGGTGGCATTGCTCTACTGGTGACAGGATCTATGTGGACTTACTGCCAAAGGTCATGTCCTGGGGCTCTCAGGGGTCAGGAGGCAAAACAACCAATTATACAACTCTTTCCTTTATGTGCTGCATTCCTTATGATCTGCATTGGCTTGGGAAACTCGTGTCAAACAAATGCCTGGTTGGGCAGAGATAAGAAACAGACCCCTTTTCTCTACCCCTAAGAGTGGAGGAGCTGGCTGTTGCCCTGTTTAGGAGTGGTGCTGCTGGACACCACATGGTTTTCTGCAAGAAAAGTAACAGTCCAGAGCTACTGCCTTTATCCTCCTCACTCTTTTGGTCCCAGGATCAATAACATTTGTAAGGTATTTTGGCACACATCAGCATCCTGCAGTTCAGTATCTGCTGCCACTGTGATATTTGTAGGTTTCAGGTGCAATGTCTCCTGGTTTTTTCCTGTCCTGTTCTCCTTAACCTCCCTATGTGCTGCAACTCCCAAAGGAGTTTTCCCTGGTCACAGTAAATAAGTTTTTAAAGGCTCAATACACAGGGAGAGAAGAATAACCCTTTCTGTTGGCTTTGACAACTTCCTGAACTCTGGCTGGCTCTGCCAGCTGGGAAACCTGAAGCCAGAACTTGGTCCTTTGAAGATAACAATGGTAATTACTGCAGATCAAACAAAGTCCTGGTTTAACATAAATTCCATGCATGTTTCTTTAGTCCTATTCACAGTAAGGATATTTGGGAATTCTAGAGTGAAGATGTTAGATTTCTTTTCTTAAATCCTGGCCTAAATACAGCCCCACAGTCTTGAAGCACAAAACTGTCTAGAGTATTCCACAGTAATCCTATCTGCAATTCAGCACGAGAAAGATATGGCAAACTTCCAACTGGTGACAGAGAGGAGAGGGAGGAAAATGAATAGGGAAAACCAAGGGCTCCACTCTGAACACACTGGGGGGAAGCAGTGCCTGCAGGTATCTGGGGTCAGCCAATTCTCCTTTTTCCAACCTCTCTGGGCTTATGGATAAAGCCCATGGAGGAGTTACATAGATTCATAGATTGTTAAGGGGTTGGAATGGACCTTACAAATCATCTAGTCCTAACCCCCTGCCCTGGGCAGGGACACCTCCCACCAGACCAGGTTGCTCAAGGCTTTATCCAACCTGACTCTGAACTCTGCCAGGGTTGGGAGACTCACAATGTCCCTGGGCAACCTGTGCCAGTGTCTCACCACCCTCACAGGTAAAACTTCTTCCTAATATCTAATTTAAATTTCCCCTCCTTCAGTTTGTACCCATTACCCCTTGTCCTGTCACTGCAGTTCCTGACACAGAGTCCCTCTCTGGCTCTCTTGGAGCCCCTTCAGATATTGAAAAGTTGCTCTGAGGTCTCCACACAGTCTTCTCTCCAGGCTGAACAGCCCCAGCTCCCTCAGCCTGTCCTCATAGGGGAGATGCTCCAATCCTTTTACCAACTTTGTGACCTCCTCTGGACTTGCTCCAACAGTTCCATGTACTTCTTACATTGAGGGCACCAGAACTACACTCAATATTCCAGGTGGGTCTCAGAGAGCAGAGCAGAGGGGAAGAATCACCTCCCTTGACCTGCTGCCCACACTGCTGTGGATGCAGCCCAGGATTCCATTGGTTTCTGGGCTGAGCTCACACTGCAGCTCATGCTGAGCTTCTCATCCACCATCATGCCCAAGTCTTTCTCTTTAGTGCTGCAAGTTGTGCAGAGTTCTCACATCATGGGTTTCCCTCCAACAAACTACATACTTTGTCTCTCCATAAAGTACACTTCATACTTTACAGAAGGACACTTGTGATACTGTGCATGATCAAAATACAAACTCTGCTTTCTTCTTTGAAAAAATAACAATAAAAATTACCTTCTACTGCAGTATTTTGCTGATCCACCAAAAGCACAGAGCCATTGTGCAGGTAGGAAAGCATTGGGGCAAATGTGGAGGTATGGACTGGAAACTCAGGATCCTGCACAGTGATTCTGAGCCTCACAGTGATGCTTCCAGCTCGCAGGGACTCAATCTGCACTTTCAGCTTCCCAGAATTGTATAAAGCAGATATGTTGGGTGGAAATGAATTTTCAAGCTGAGCAAAGGGAAAGAAGCATCTAGCATTAGGAAGCCAACAGGAATACTTCTTTTTGAAACTCAACTGTGGTGGTGCCTTCTGAAAGACTTACAGATGCACAATATAGAAAAGGTGAAAAGTTCCAAAGTGCTTCAGAAATCTTGCTTTCCAGATATTACTGAGGCACAAAGTAATGTGAGCCTCCTTGGTGTACCTAGGTACCTTTGAAAATGGAACCCATCTGACCACTGATCTTACAAACCAAACTTCATTTTGGCTCAAAGGTGCAGAGTTCCTCCTGGCCCTGTTTGCCTGCATCAGAGCTGAACTGACCCCTGATCTTAGCTCTGTATATTACATAAGCATTTTGTCCCAAGCCTACTCTATACTCACCTCTGCACTCCCAGACTCTGGAGCTGGGTAATTTCCATTGTCACTGGAGCAGAGTCTGGCTTGACTTTGACTACTACCAGCTAGGAGACCCCCAGGCAGAGCCTGAGACTTAGCACTGGCCAGGGGCCAGTCCCAACAGGCAGTGGGAATGTGACCACAGCACTTTGGGAGACCCAGCTGCATGGAGACAGGCTGTTTTGTGCCAGCTGGGGCTACTGCCAGAGAATGGTTCAGGAAATGTTTCATTTACCAATATGGGCACAGCTTTAGCTCCCAGGGAGTGTTTAAAACTCACCAGTCCAAGTTCAACCTGTAGCCAAGTCCAATAATAAAGAAATCTCAAGATGAGAGGCAAGAGAAATGGGGGTGGATAACTTCAAGAAAATGTGTGTGAGACATCCAAGTTTCAAGGTAATATCCCAACTGGTTAATTACCAAATCAGTGAGTAGTCACATCAGTTGAACAAATGGCAATACTCTGAACATTAAAGCTGGCACACTGCAGTCAATAATTGAGCTGTGCAGGTGTAGGCAGTTTTACCTTACATCTCTAGAAGGCAGCTCCTTGCTTGAGCCTTTTGTTCCTACATACACCTCAAAGCATGTCTTTGAGCACGCATTGCAGAGCCATAAATCAACACAGCTTTGTTCCCATTCAGTCAGAGTTCGCTCCAAAAAAATCCTACAGACAAGCTGTTTACCTGGTCTAAGCTCACATCAGAGTGGGGAGGCAAAGAAAAGAAGGGAGAGGAAGTGAGAAGAGGTTGTTGTGCTCTTGAACACTCAAGGAGGCAGAAGCAACACAGATGAGCAATGCTCCTTTTCCTTCCCAACCCAATCATGCCAACTAGGTCTGAATTAGTCTTAGAGAAGATTCACTCACAAAAATCCTCTTACAGAAAAAAAGTGAACAATTTCCAACTGTGGGAAGTAAAATCATGTCAGAAGGTTCAACTCAAAATTTCTCATGAGCAAACACCTCTTCTCCACTGCCTTTGACAGTAAAGCTTCATTATTGTTTTGTGAGGGTTTTTTGTAGGTTTTTCCCTCAGATTCACATATGTTTATGAGTCACCCTCTGTTTTGGGAAAATCTCATTTTGGATGGACATCCCAATTCCTCTGTATGGGCCCTGTTCTCTGCAGCAAAACTGTAGGAGATTTCTCCATCTGAAAGTTCCCCTTTTTTAGGGAAGCTGAGAGCTGGTAATAGATTTCATGACTCAAGTTTTGTTTGTGGCTGTTTACACCTTAGCATGGACAGTGGCTATATGTCTGCAGGCAATGAATGGGGCAGGAGAAGAAAGCCTGATCCAGTCACTTTTTGTAAAAGAAGAAAGAGCTTTGAGAGAACGCAGACATTTATTGAGGAGACAGTGCTGAAATGAATGCCAGGAATGTCATTTCAATAAGCTATTGAAAAGCCTCGAGTCGATTTAATGCAAGTTTATTGCCAAAATGAGGATCCAAGGAAAGGAGACTCTGTTGCATGCCTCCATTTATGATTCTTTTACTTTTCTGTAGGGGAAAATTCTCATTGGCTCCATTGTTAATAAGGCCAAGGGCTTAATCTGTCTAGTCACTTGAATTTTGTTTTAATTACAAGAAAGGTCACAGGAAGCAGTATGACGATTTTCAAAGGATATTTCAGCCAGACATAAAATCCTCTATGAGATGAAATAAATTCTAAACTGAACATA